CGGTACCTCCAGAAAAGAGTCCCCCTACTTCCTAAACCCTGGACCCTAAACCCCAGACCCCCAACCGTTCAGGAAGAGGCGTCAGACTCGAAGGGCCCGAAGAAGGTCATTTGGGACACGGCGGATCTTACGCAACTGGGCCTTACTCGGGTCACTGCAGAGGTCGTGGAGTGGGCGGAGTCTGGGTGGCTTTCGGGGCTCTAAGGGTTTAGGGTTCGGGTTGATGTGGGTTGTAAAACGAGAGGCCCCTCTCTTCAACACACCTAAAACCCCCCTTTATTTTACACCTATCATAGACCCCCTTTCAAAGGAAGCCTATACAGGAACCTTCTTCTAATTCTTCTAATCAATGTCATGAAATGTCATGAAGGCCCTACATTAAACCCAAAAAACCCTCATTATAAGCACTTATATATAATTAAAAATTCAAACTGTTTGATAGCTTTCGAATCGAGACTCTACGCCACCCGCAATAAGGGAATGTGACACGTCCCATCGTAGACGTCTTTCGCTCATCTAGTGCATCCTTTGGGCTCGCGAAAGCTCGATTGTGCATATCTAGCTCATCTGTCGCAGGGCGCAGTATTGTTGTAGCTACTAGGACTAACTGTTCATTTGGTTGATTGGGGTTGTATTATCGTTGCATGGGATGTTAAGGAACTTATAAACCGTCACAACAGGGAGGAAACGTATCACGTGATGTACATATATATATATATATATGTATACACATACAAGCAGCATGTTAACATGTTGCAAGGACGCCAGATTCCTGAAGAAAACTCAGCCTGAAAAGTCTTTGACTTGTCCGTTTGACCCCTGAGGACTTGAGAGGCTGCCCTGTCTTGAAGCTTCGTTGCTGAGGAAGCTATCTACATATATGTATGACTGCATGTATGCACGCATGCATGTACGTAGGTAGGTGGGCGGGTGGGCGAGTAGGTAATGAGTAAGTAGGTAAGTGAGTAGGTAGGTCGCTAGCCAGGTAGACAAGGCATGCGGGTGCGCAACAAGACTGCCTGCTTGAATGCGGTAAGCAATGCAATGTAATTGCATTTGGTGCAGGTGATTCAAGAGTAATGTAGTGTTTTGTAATGTAGTGCCATGCAATGTACTGTAACTCCGTGAAGTGAAATGTAAGGTCATGTAGTGCTGTGCTGTGTTGTGTAGCCTCATGCCATGCAAGGCAATATAATGCCGTTTAGTACGCTGTGGTGGAGCATTATGTAGTGTTAATCATGTATGTGCTCAGCAGAATGTACAGGTGGTGTAGTGCAATGTGATGTAATGTCGTGTAGTGAAGTGTAGTTTAAAACATGCATGCAATGAATGTAATGTATAGCAAACCAAATCAATGCAAAGTAATAAAATGCAATGTGTTGATATGTATTGTATATGGGCATGCAAATCCATGAGTGTACATACAAGACGATCTCTCCAGATATGTGTATCTCTGTATATCCATGGCTATCTATATATATATATATACCTTTATATATATATATAATATGTTATATATATATATATACATATATGTGGATGGATATATATATATATATATATGTACACAGACGGTACAAAAAATCACAGATCTATTGGGGAAGTCAGGTGGTGGGACTTCTACAAGCGCCGCTGGACAACGCTGTGGCTCATGAAAAACGTGTACACGCGTTACAAAGCCGTGCTGGAGCGCCTTGAGGGGCGCAACAGGGCACCTAAAGGATCAGGGGACTTACGAAGCTCCATTTCTGGGGTTTAGGGTTTAGGGTTTGGGGGGGCGGTGAAATTTCGAGAACCCTGTGTGGGCCTTCATTAGACAGGCACGGTGCGACCGGGGCAACAGGGAACCAACTCTCCGGAATCGTAGGCGCAAGCTTGAAAAAGCTACGCCACGCCTGTCAGTTTCAACCTGAAGCCTTACTTGCACAGGATTTTTCGGGGGTAGATCCAACAAGCATATAAGGGCTGTAGAGATTCGGATTTGCATAATGCCCCCGAGTTATGATATGTGAGCGATATTCCTTAGATCACGCGAAGCAGCCCAATGCAGTTTGCGAATATTCCTCAATTACAAGCTTCGTAGATGAATGATTTCTGGGTTCTAGGGTTACCGATCTTGCAGAGAAGGGCTTGTCCTACATGGTACATCATATGGGGCATGAACAGTTAAAGTTGGGTCTTGGAGCAGATGATACTACAGCTATAGTGAGGTAGCCTGATGAATAAAGATGAATAATTCATCTTCCTGCTTCTATAGTAGCTTAGAAATAACCCTAAGCCCTAAGCCCTAAACNNAAGCCCCAAACCCTAAACCCTAGCTTACCGGCCTTGGCTCCTGCCCGAGCCCCAACCCAACTCCGAGCAACAACCATGAAACCTCAGTGAAACCCTGTCGCACCGGGGCCGTAATAGTTTCGAGTAAGGGTTTGGGGATACATTCTGCTTTAAGGGAATAGCAACTGGAAGGGAATATTACTTCTAACTTTATACAGTTTCAAAACCCTCAACCCCAAACCTTAAAC